TGGGGTTTAAGAGTGCATTTAATGGCAGGTTTTACGCTGTGTTAATTATTAATTTAACAGTGGCTAAAAAAAGAAACAATTTTGGTTTTGGAACAAAAATTGCAGCATTTGCAGCTGCCGAAAGCATTTGGAAAATTCGTTGCAGAGGCGGCGCACGGTACACAATACACGATTAACCCTCTATAGACATGACTTTTATCAGTACCAAATACACGATTATGTCCATGTCTATTGCTCCTTTATTAATCAGACTTATGCTCAGATAATTCCCTTTTTACTTTTACTTTCTTTAATTACTTTACTTTAATTAATTGTTTTCTACCTGGTATTTTTTTATAAGTTCTTACTTTTTACTGCCTGCTATTTTTTAGACAGTTCAACAACAAAATAAATTCCCCTATTAAACCTGAACTCAGTTTTCCCATAGTCCATTATCTAAATCAAGATTTATTCCTAGAGCTAATCACATTTTCGAGGTTTTCTTTTGGCCAGCAAATGGCCTGCAGCCCGCTGGCCAGTGTAATCGACCTTCTGCTTGCTCCTCCCCCAAACCAAAAAATCAACGACAGCCAGGCAGAGAGGCGACTCCATTTCCATTTCCTTTGGCATTTTGCTGCCTCCCCTTTGCTGTGGGGATGCTCCTTTTCCTATGGCTGCACTTTGCTCTGTTCTGCAGCACTTTCAGCGTTCTCGTTGATTGTTTTTATTGTCGTCGTCGTCGTAGTCGTCGTGGCGGCGCGGGTAGGTTACATGCAAAGTTCATTAGGTATTTGGCCTACGACGAAAGCAATTGGAGCTTGCCACGTGCTGGAGCGGGCTGGAGGAGGCCACAGAAATTGGGGGCATGGGGCATTGGGCACAAACCGTTAACGAGACCGAAAAGTGCAGGCAACTACAACAAATGAAGCCAGAACTCCTGCAAGGCTGCAGAGCTGCCACGTGGATGGGGGGCTCTGGGTCTGGGTCTGGGGTTGGGTGTTGGGTTATGGACCATCTGGCAAAGGACATTATCGTGTGCGGCATGAGTTTGGGGCAGGCATGCAGACTGGAGACTCCTTAAGCGGCAATTAGCGCTTACAATGAAACGGATAGGTGGTGTGGGCTGGTACGGGCTGGGCTCGGGAGGTGGCAAAAGCAAAAGGGAGTTGCACCGTTGTTTGCCTGCCGCCAGCTCTGTTGTTGCCTCAACACTTCTCTCACTCTCTCTCTCACTCTCTTTTTCCCTGCTGATTCTCTCTGCTGCTGCTGCCTTGCAACCCTTTATTATTCATGCCACTTTCACTTGGCAAATTAGCTGTTACTGCCACTGCCACACAGGCTACTGCTCCTTGCTACTGCTCCTTGCTACTGCTACTGCCACATCTTCCTTCTCCTTTTTGCCACTCCATACTGCCAACCACAGCCTGCTGCTCTACTCCTCTACACCACTCTACTACTCTCTCTGTGGCAATCGTTTTTAAATGCAATTAAGTGGCAATGTTTGCTCTCCTTCTAACTGCTGTGCCACTCTCTCTTCACCACCCTCACCCTCCCCCTACCCCTAGCCCTCTCTCTACTCTTCTTTGGAGTCGTCTTGGCTGCTTGGCTAAGCGCCTTAACATTTTAATTGGCCTTCAAAACAATTGAAACTTGAAATTGCCCCAAATACACGAGTGCCAGACACAATGACTGCCGCAGAAAGTCTGCTACAGAAATCTCAACATTTTAAAGAAATTTAAATTGTGCAGAGTTTTGTGCCGAAAAGTGGATGAAAAAATACTCTGAATAAGTAACCAACTTTTTTGCGCACTTTCTTAGGTATTATGAGTCTATGGGTCAGTTCACGTTTGCTTTTTCATTGGTTTCCTTAACAAGGCTTCAGATGTAGCCACTACATTCAAAAGTTTTCACTTTTATCGTCCACAAACTTTCCAAGAGAGGGCACTGGAGTTACGTTTTGTATCGCTTCTGTATCGATACGTATTTCTATGTATCTATGGATTTTGTGTCTGGATTTTGTGTCTGTATTTTACATCTGTATTTTGCTGCTGTATTTCAGTATCTATTTCTTACTTTTTTCTTTGATATATTTATTTCATTTATTTATATTTATTTTATGTATTTATATTTATTTTATTTATTTATATTTATTTCATTTATTTATTTATATTTATTTATTTTTCTGCATCTTCCTCTGCATCATTTATTGTAAGCTCTCAAGCATGTATAGATTTGGGTATCCGTATCCTGCTTATATCTTTACTCTAACATTTTCTTACATACCTTAAATCTCTACCTACCTCTCTACCTACCTCTCTAAAATCTCGTTTATGTGTAACTTTCTTTTCCTTCCAAGTTCCCTGATAATTCTACCAATTTCTTCCGCTCATTTGTCGCCTACTTTCCCCTTAGAATTCTGCAGCTAAATCTACTTCTAGCTCAAACAAAAAGAAAGCCTGCGTTTCCATTGGTGTGGAAAGAATGGAATTTTTTAATTTTCACATCATTACAAAATACCAAAACGCCACTTGCCCCTCGCCCCTCGCCACTTGCCACTCGCCACCCCACCTGGCTCTGCCGTTGCTTCCTGTGGCAAAACTCCTCTTTCCGTTTTTAGTGTTTCAGATGTGAAAGGTTAATACCTTGCACCCCCACCCCCACCCCACCATGACACTGCCACACGCAGAGGGGCGACACACAACCGTTGCGATGTTTCATGGCTTCAACAAAAGAACTGTTGACGAGGGGGGGACGGACGGCGGTTTAAAAAATAAAGCGAAAACCAGAAACAACAATTAATAATGAATTGTATGGCGAATTGTGTAAAACCACAGACCGCCCCCCCACGCAGTAGCAGCAGCAAGGAAGAAAGGGAACGGAGGGGGGAGGAGCAGAGCATCCCAGCGTCCAGTTTACGCATTCATTTTGTACTCCACACATACACCCAGCCAAGGAGAGAGGCTACAATGCAGAGCGGGGAGTGGGGAGGGGGGAGAGTAGTCCCCAGTTCCAGTTCCCCATTTGAAAGGAGCACACCACACCACAGCGTTGATGATGATGACGGGTACGCCGGGCACCAAGGACCCTCGCTGCAGGATGAATGGACGAGGACGTGCGCGTCAAGCGGCGACAGCAGCCACAGCAGCAGCAGCAGCAGCAACAATGAAATGGAAAGTATATTACAAAACTGAAACTGAAAAGCAACAAAACAAACAGAAACAACAGCAGCAGAGGAGAGCAGCAGCAGCAGCAGCAGCAGAGCAAAAAGCGACAAAAAAACGTTTAGAAAAAAAATTGCTGTTTCAACAAATTCACAACGGAAGTGGAAAGTGCTTTCCCTTCACAGACGTGCGGACTGGACTGCTCTCCCCCGCCACCCATCTGCCTTTCTTTTCGTTCTGAGTGCGTTGCAAGTGAGTCTCTCTCTCTCTGTCTGTGTGGCATGTGTGCTGCTAGGGGGGCCGCTGCTTGATGAATGCGCATTGCCATCGATTTGCCACTCGAACTCCATTTTGCACTTTTCCCCCGCACACACACACACAAAACATTTTCATGGGCAACGCAACAATAATTTCTTTTGCAGGTAAAAACCACACACACCCACACACAAACACACACACACACACACACCTTTTGCCCCACAACCGGTGGGGGAGGGGAGCAGTTACACTCCAGCACGGATTTCATTTTGTTTTGCGGACAATGAAAAATCACCGAAACGTACGAAGAGTACCAAGAGGACCAAAAGTATTTCTCACTTTGGTTTTTTGTTCGCTCTTCTTCGCTTCGCTTCGTTTCGTTTCGTTTCGCTTCGTATTTTCTATTTCTTCTTCCTTTTCACCCTTTGGATTTTTGTAGTTGAAGCTCTTTGTGGCAGGGTATAGGGTATAGGGTAGGATATTCCGAACATTTCCAAAGTTCTTCTAATAATTGTTAAATAATAATAATAATAGGAATAATAATAATAGGAATAATATAATTTAAAAACAAATGATAACTTTGCTGATCTTATTACTTGAGGAGAATATACTCGAGTATATTTCGATTTATTTACATACCTATGCAGCTCAATCTGTAACATAGCAATACTTATTTATACAGCAGTGCTTCTATACACTGCCATTATTATTTATTTATGTAGCTCCATCCGTAATATAGCTATACATATTTATACAGCAGTGTACCTCTATGCACTTCCATTATTATTTTACGCAAAATCAAAACCTTTCTTGATTGTACTTTTCATCGCAAAAAACACCGAATCATCCCTACTCCTTATTGTTAATGGTTTTTTGGTTTTATTCATTCCTTTCATTGCTAACGAATGTATGGCAGAAATTTCGGAAATTTATGGAAAAATTCGTTCAGCATATCAAAGTCATTGGCAAATATTTGAGGAATGTGCTGGAGGGTGTTTTAGATTATTTTAATGTTTTAAATTATTTTAAAATTATTTATTTATAAAATAAATAGTAATTAAAAAAATAATAATAAATAAATTATAAATAAATAATAAATAAATAATTATAATAAATAAATAAATTAATTAATTTTCTTACTTTAGGAACTCAACTCTTTCAAAATTAAGAACATTAATTTATTTATTATTATTGTTATTTATTTATTGTTATTATTATTTATTTATTTATTATAATTTAATTTAAAAATAAATAATTTTAAAATAATGTAATCTTACTTTTGAAAGAGTTGTGCTTCAAAAGTAAGACCCTGATGGCTGATTGTTTATGACAGAAGTGGCATTAGATGTACATTATTCTGTGTTTATATACAAAGAAATTTCCCACAACTTCCCTATTAAGAACTTGCCTTTGTAATTCCCTTAAATATCCCCTAGATATTTACGATTAAATACATTTTCAACTGCCTCCAAAGTGGAATATTTACTGACCTAAGAAATGCAACAAAAATATCCAAAATTCCCACAAAACCCCCCATTTAAATCTAAGCCATAAACCATGTCTGTAGTGTTAGTGTATGCGTGTGTGTGTGTGTGTACTTACATTCATTTCCTGGCATCGTGTGTGCTGTGAGGCCGGGTATGCCATTCACACCAACGCCACTGCCACCGATGCCGCCAACGCCGACGCCGATGCCGCCGCCACCCACACCGATGCCGCCGCCGACACCCATGCCGCTGACAACACTGCCACCAATGCCACCAATGCCCCCAATGCCACCGACGCCGACCACACCGCTGCCGGGATGATAGCTATAGCCATTCTGTGTGGCATAGAGCGCCGTCTTTTGCTCCTCCATGCTGAGGGCCAGGTCCATCGAGTGCTCGAGGGCCTTGTTGTCCAGACCGCTGGCCGGATAATAGGGCGGCGGGGCCTGGCTCTGTTGGGCGGCAACGATGGAGGGGCGCACCGAGTCCATTTCGTAGTCCTTGGCGGCGGCGCTTTTCTTCGATTGATTCCGCTTGCAGCGGCAGAACATGAGCAGCAGGCCGGCAAACAGGGCGAACACAATGCACGAGACGATTATCGCAATCAGTGTGGGCGTGGCCAAAGCACTAGCCTCCGCTATATAGGGACGTCCAACTGCAGGGGTACAGAGAGAGAGAGAGAAGATGAAGCCATGAAAAATGCATTCGCTGAAGGCTTCAAGTGGATGGATGGATGGCAGGATGGCAGTGCAGGCTGGAAGGATGCTGCTGCTGCCAGTGCTGGCTAGCTGGCTGGCTGGCTGGCTGGTTGAGTGATTGATTGATTGTCCATCCATCGGACTGGAGCTGGAGCAGCAGCAGCATCCTTCTCTGACCCATTCAAGTGCTGCAATTGCTCGGTAATGGCTTTGCATATAATGGAAAATCATCAGCGTGTAGCAGCGCAGCCAGTCCTTGCACCCCACCATCCATCTCCCATCATCCATGCTTTTTTTGGTACTTACTCTCGGCATCCGTGTAGTCGCCACAGTGCTCCGGATTGTTGCGCAGACAGAGCTTGACGCGCACCGTCGGCCCCTCGTTGTCATCCTCGAGGGCCAGCGTATTGAGTGCCGCCTCATCCTCATCCTCGCTGATGGTGTGCCCCAGGGCACGGCCGCCGCCAATGCGTCGTGTGCCCATCAGTCGGTCGATGATCTTCTCCTTGTGCGTGGGCCCGTTGCCCGACAGCTGCAGATTGTCCACCGTGTCCACCACCTCCCAGGCGGCCCGCGGCGTGTCGCCGTGCACCATTGTCTCCACAACGGCAACGAGCGAGAGGCATGTGGCACCCACATCGATGCCCAGGGTGCGGCTGCTCGGCTCGTAGGTCACCTGCAGCGGTGGCGGTATCCGGCTGACTTTGGTCGTCACCAGAATCTCATTGGAGTAGGGGGAGCCGCTCTTCGGATTGAGTGCCTTCACCTTGAACGCATAGCTCTGATGCTGATCGAGGGAGGTCACCTTGCAGGGTATGTCCCGCTGGCAGTCCACCTCCACCCAATCCGAATTGGAGTTGGCCAGCGTGGCACAGTCGGGTATCAGTTGCTCCTCGCGTGGCATGGCCACGCGGCGGTAGCTGACAAAGAATTTGGTCTTGCTGAGGCCGCCATCGAAGCCGGGATCCCAGCTGAGCGACACGTAATTGTGGCCCACATCCATCGCACGCAGATTGGTGGGCTTCTCCGGCGGCCCCTTCTGCTGCAGCCGTATGGGGGCACGTATCGTGTTCAGGCTGTTGGCCACGCGGCACGTGTACTCGCCGTAGTCGGAGTGGGTCAGCGCATTGATGCGCAGCACCGACGTGTATATGTCATTCTTGTCGGAGGTGGTGCTGATCTCGTAGTGCCCCTCCGAGGACATTGTCAGCGGCGACTGATTGTTCCCAAAGAGCCACACAAACTCGGGCTTCGGATAGGCCTGCACCTTGCACACCACCTCGGCCGTTTCCCGGATATCGAAGGCCACCTTGTTGTACTGATGCAGCACGATCGGTTCGTGCTCGATGCGCAGCTGCATCGAGGAGTTGGCCGAGTTCACCTCGTTCTGGTAGAGACACGTGTACTGGCCCCGGTCGCCGGGCACCAGATCGTTGCCATTGGGTCGCGCCTTGCCGCGGAACTTCAGCTGGCTCTGGACGGTGACCATGCCGTTGAGGCCCTGATCGGGATTCGTTTGCACCTCGTACAGATTGAGTTCGGGTATGATCTCCACATCGTCCTTCAGCCACTTGACACTGGGCGCCGGCTTGCCCTTGGCGCTGCACGTCACCGTGTAGTCGGTGTCGCCCACACGGCGCGTCATGTGCTGCTGCAGCTTGGCCAGGAACTGTGGCGGCTGGTGGATCTCCAGCACAATGGTGGCCATCATGCCGATGCCCAGCTCATTGACCGCATGGCAATGGTACTTGCCCTCGTTGCCGAGATGGGCTTTCGGTATGGAGTACTGTGGCCCCTGGGCGAGGATCTTCTGGGTGCTCGAGAACTCGCCGTCCATGTCGCGGAACCAGCGATACTGCGGCACCGGCCAGCCCGGCGGATTGGCCGAGCAGGTGAGCGTCACGCCATTGCCCACATGCACCACGGGCTTGTTGGGCGTGATGTACGCCTGGCCGGGCCGGTGGCGGACGAGCAGCGCCACCGTGGAGTTGCCGATGCGCTCGCTGCGCTCCTGGCCCTGGCTGTGCATTATGTTGACCGCTCGACAGATGTAGTTGGCGGCATGCTCCGCGCGCACCGAGGGCAGTGTCAGTATGTCGCCGTTGTAGCGAAAATCGGGGGCGCCCTCCTTCAGCCATTCGATGGTGACGGGCGGCGGATTGGAGGTGACATTGCAGCGTATCGTCACCGTTTCGCCCTCCTCGGCCTCGCGCGTCTTCGACTCAATGACGACCGTCGGCGGGTACAGTATGTCCAGTATGAGCTCCTGTTCGCCGGTCTTGCCCAGGCCATTGTCGGCGCTGCACGTGTACTTGCCGGCGTCCTGCACGCTCACCCGATGGATGGTGTGCACGAGGGAGGAGCTAATGAAGCGGCCGTTGCGTGTCCAGCGGACATTGGGCACTTTTGGCTTGGCGTCCACGTTACACTCCAATTTGGCAGTGCGGTCACGTTCCACGCGCAGCGGATTCTCCGGACCGACCTCGACGCGTGGATAGTCTGTACGGGCGAGAGAGAGCAAAAAGAGAGAGGAGGCGAAAATTAGTCAAGAAATAAGAGACACAGAGAGGGAGTGGAGGAGTGGGGAAGTGGGGGAGTGGGGGTTTTGGGGCATGTGTCCTGTAGGACTCGTACTCGTAAATCAAAGCGAAACCACACAATTTTCTTCGTCCCCCCCGAAAAAATGATGAAAATTAATAAACACGCAGCATTTTTCGGTGGCGTGGCAGGAGGAGAGTCGCTGAGCGGTGGCTGGCATAATCAGACGGCACATCTGAGCAACTTCTAATTGAATTAGCAGAGTCATGGCAAAAGGATCGACAGAAGGCAGGTCCTGGCACTGACTAGCAATGACTAGCAATGGGCCCTGATGATTGGGTTGGGTGCCCTGAGAATGTTGTCTGATTAGACACGAAATTTGTCAATTATTAATTAAACTAATGAAGTGCTGCTGCTGCTGCCCTGACCCTGACCCAAGCAGTCCCTCAGCTCAGCAGCTACCAGAGAGAGAGAGAGAGAGAGAAAGTCATTAACATTAGAGCCGTCACTCTGCTCAGTGAGTGAGGGAGAGTGGCAGGAGGAGCCGACGTAGCTGCTGCTTCGATAATTATGATTTCTTCTAGCTAAGGCGACCTTTTGGTATCGATACATTGAACCAATATCTTTGTGTGTTTGGGAGGTCAGTTTTTGTTTTTGTTTTTTTTTTTTTTTTTTTGATTTATTTTTGATTTTTCCTAGTGCTACAATTAAAACATATTTTTAATGCACTAGTCACAGGTCAACTGAAGGCGTAACTTAAGCTTTAAATATATCGCAGAGTGTGAGGCAAGGAGCGCGTGCAATTTATAGGCATCAAAAATGTTCTTGGAAAGATACAAAAAACAGCCCACAAAAATGCAGCTAAAAAACCTAAAGCCAAAACCTTTGCTTATCTTTCAAACTCTTGGTTTTTTTTTTGACTAAAACTATTTTCCATTTAATAAACGCATTGGCAATTTTTGGAACTTAAATCATAATTTGGCACGCTCTCTTTGAGCCCCAAATGGGACTGACAGCAGTCAGTCAATCCTCAAACAGCAGCCCAAAATGGCTGCCCTTATCTATGCCGAATCAACTAATAGATGAACTTCAAATATACTTCAAATTCAAGAGCAGCTGCCAGCCCCCACCCACCGTTTGACAGCTCGAATCACCTTGGCATAAATCTCGCGCACATTTTGTCAGCCAACTCAACTAATTTCCCTCCCAATTTACATTTTTGTGCCAAGAGAAAAGCGGAGGAAATATAGGTAGAATCCATCTTCAAATTTCGTTGGACTGCAAGTCATAGTGCCCCACCCCCTCCCCCCGCGACATTAGTGGCTGCTCTTATGCACCGCACCGCACGGCACCGCACCGCAAATGGCGTGAAATTATGTCTGCCTGGCCCTCGCCCTTGGGGGCAACCACTTTGTAATTAACTGCCCCACGGATAAGTGTCGCCACAGCGCTGCCCCACCTCCCGCCCCCTTCCATCAGCTGGTGGCAGCAGCAGCGGCTGCCTAATGACTTTGTCCATAAACCCCGCCGAGTGGCAGTCCGTCCAGGAGTCCGTCTGTCCCTTTGGCAGCATTGACAGCAACGAGAGAAGGAAGCCGGGCTGAAGAGCCCAAGAACTTTAGTCTGCCGCAATCCCAAGAAACTGGAGCACATCCCAACCCGCCAACCAGCCAACCAGCCAGCCATCGGACACTGCCAATCCCCGTGCCCCCGTCACCAATCGCTGGGCTCTTAAGAGGTTCACTTCCTTCCCCTGCTCGCTGCTCGCTGCCGCTGCCGCGCTCTGTCTTTGCAGCGTAAATTATAGTAAATTGCGTGATTCTTGCAAGGGGGCGGGGGGGAGTATAGAGGCATTGTGGTCTGCATATTCCAGGTGTCTGCTTGAACTTTTGGACTCTGGTTTTTGTGCCGCCGCAACCGAGACTCAGGCTCTGATTCTGACTCTGACTCTGGCTCTTCTTTTGCGTGTTTATGTGCGTGTAATTACATTTGATTGTGTCTCTGCCACTGCCCCTGCCCCTGCCTCCTTACAGCAAAAGAATCAGCAACAGCAGCAGCAGCAGAGGCAGAGGCAGCAGCAGAACCCAGGCAAAACCCAGCAAAACCCAGGCAAAACCCATTAAAGAATTGTTAGTTAAAATCAACCTCAAAGATCGCGCCACTCCGTGTGTGTGTTTATTTTTTTTTTTTCCCCTGTTTCTGTTGGGTCTCCCCGTCTAAATGGCTTCAAATTGGCTTAATTGTCACTTTTGTGAACATGTTTTACCCACAAAAAAAAGTCTGAAGAAAAGAAACCTCCTCCCATTATGCATTGCACATTCTACACATTTCAGCGCCAAAAGCCATGCAACAACAAACAGCAGCTGCGAGTGTGGCAGCAGGCAGAGAGGCAGCAGGCAGAGAGGCAGCAGTAAGAAGGCAGCAGTCCGAGGCAGCACTCAGAGTCAGAGAATCAGAGAGGTAGCGGCACAAAACTGACCTAAAAATAGGCCCCGCCGCCGTCGACTTTCTTTTTGTGTCCCCCCGTTGATTACTTTAAAATGAGAACCTACCGGGGTGGGGCTACGCCGGCCATAGGAGGAAAGATGTTCTTTCAGGCCGAGTTCCGTTTCGTTCCTACAATTATTTACCCCAAAATGCAGCCCCGCCTTTGCCCTGCCCTGCCCTGCGTGTTCATAAATAATCAAAAAGACTGTGGTGCCTGCAAAAGCGTTGGAAAAAAAAAAACCGAAACAATTTTATGCGTGTTTTGCATATAAATTTTCTTTGCTCGTCCCGCTTAAATTATGTACGCAAATAATTGAATTAGTTTACAGAGTATCCCCTGCCCCCTGCCCGCCTGCCACTCGATGGAAAATCGTGTTAGAAATATTTTTCCAATCAATTGCCAAACTGTTCTGCGCCCTTCAATCTCTCTCTCTCTCTCTCTTTTTTTCTACCCAAAAAGATCTCTCCTTCCTTGCTATAAATTCTCTTTTCTTCTGCCTTGCCTTCAATAAGTTTGCTTTCTTCTTTTTCCTATCTACAAGTACTGAGCCTGGCTGGCTGTGGCCCCCTCCTAACCATTCATTCACTTGGAAAATACTATTAACAAACACAAAGAGGAGCAGACCGTACGTCTAAAAAAAAAAAGGGAGGCTATATTTTTTACACAGATGCCCAACTTGACCTGAGAACCGAACCTTCCCTGCTGCCTCAGTTTACAGGCAGTTTTAGGCATCCTCTGTACACTCCACGAATGGAAACCCTCTGCAACTAAACAAGGACCCCCCTCCTTGTCTTTCTCTAACACAATTTACACTCCAGGAGTAAAAATAAAAACCTTGGGCAAAAAAAAACATTAAAAAGAATTTAGTTTAGATCTGGAAATGTGAAACAATTTATATGGCTATAATCACACACCCCCATCCAACCCCAACCCCACTCAAACAAAATGAAGAAAAACGAGTGCCAACTAAATTTAATTTTCAATTTTCACATCTCCTAACTCAATTTTACAACAAGATAGAAAGTGTGCCATCGATAAACGAAGCTTAAGATACTCTAACAGAAGGATTTTTCGTAAAAGTTGTGGAGGAAATATCAAACAATTTGGTATATAAATTTAATTGATTTATGTGTAGAAACATAAGAGATTTATTTCCAAGTTTTAATGGAATTAAATTTTAAGCACGGAAATATATTTAAAACTGAGTTTTCTACGCACTAAAAATTTAAACAAAATATCTATATAATTTCCCAGGTATAAAATTCCCACTTTGCTAGCAGCTTCACTGCAAAGCGCCCAATTACCCTTTGAAAGTGTATACAAAAAAGTGACAAAAATCTAATGCAATTAGTGGGGGATCTCTTTCGTATCTTTTGCTTTTCCCTGAGCAGCAATTAGTGTTGGACCCTAATTCCAGGGAATTTGCAGCTGTAGCATTTGAGGATTTCATTAGAGTGGGGATTTGCCGCCCCCACTCACGATTAATTTGCCACACAGCAGGTGGAAAAAGGTGGAAAATGTAGCTACGAGAACGAGCAATAAAATTAGCAAACAGCAGAAAGCTAATATTAATTTTAATTTTAATTGCAACAAAAGAAATTCCCCAAAAAAAAAAAAGAAAAGCACCAAAAAAAAAAAAGGTAGAAAGGGAGAGGGAGAGCAAGAGAGAGAGAGAGATAGGAAAAAAGGGAATCCTCGAAAGAGTGCAGTGCAGAAGGCAAACAAAATCCATTAAAAATAATCGACAGAGCTTTAACGTTCAAGTCAATGGCCATTGCTTAACTTGGCCAAATCCAATTTGGATGTGTGTGGGTGAAGCAGAAGAGAGGTGCAGAGAGGGGCAGTGAGAGGCACGCGCTTCAGGCCACAGGCCACAAAAAGCCACAGCCAAAATGGAGGCAACAAGGCAGAAAGAAGCAAAAGCGATTTGTGATATGCCCAACAAGCGGGCGGCGAAAAAACCCCCCAAGCCAGGCAAGCCAGGCAAACCGAGCCAATAACCTTCATACTCTCACGCGAAAATAGGCAAGGGCGCCCACTACCACACCCGCCGCTACCACTAAAAGATAAATGATAAGGCGAATAAGCCACACGATTGGCAGAGCCCAAGGCCCTAGGTCTGCGCCTGCCCCTGCGCCGCCTCTTCCTTTCATTTGTAACTAATGAATGTTAAAACTTTTAAAAACGAAACAACCAATAAATTACAGGCCTTTAATTTGAGCAAAAGTATCTGCTGCTGCTGCCCAGCGAGGAGTGTTCTTTTCTCTGGATGGATATGGGGATATATCTGCTGCTGCTGCTGCTGCTGCTGCTGCTGTGAGTTTTCTGTGGGCATCTTGCGCAAGTTGATGTTGCCATGATTTTCATCATCTACTAAATGTTTTTCTTTGGCCTTTCAAGTTTTTCTCGTTGCCAAGCTGCTGCTGCTACATATGGATGGATGCTGCCTGCCTGCCAGCAGCTGGTTTGCTTT